TTCTAGGCAATTCAATTCTCTGTAATTCATTTTATTTCCACTCAAATTCCACCTTCGTAATCAAACAGACTTAGTGTAAGGTATATTCTTTTTTTTTCAAGAAATTTAAGGCTGAAGTGCCGTCGTGACAGCATGAAAATGACATCAGGCACTACGAATTTTGCTGAAGTGCCTGGAAATTTTGACATGGGGGTTGACCGACCCGCACATTTGAGCGTGGTCCCACCCGAATTAAAAAATAACAATTCTCCCATGTGTGTGTGTTCGATCATCCTTACATAGTTACTCTATAAAATTAGACCAGTGTTTGGAAAGGATTAAAATTCAATTTTTATTAGATTTTGATAAAAAATAATGAAAAGTCGTAGGATTCATGAAATATGTGGTTAACATTATTTGTTAATTTTGATTTAAATTAAAATCTGAATTTTAATCAAACCCAAATATGGGCAGGTGAATGAAAATGTTTTTGAAAAAATAGGTTTGACTTCAAATATGTTGGTTTTTGTTATTGGGTATTATTATAGCTTACTTTTTTTTTATTATTTTTTACATGTATATTTCTTGTATACAAAAATTCTATATTTAGCGTCGATTTGATNGTATTATTATAGCTTACTTTTTTTTTCATAATTTTTGACATGTATATTTCTTTTATACAAAAATTCTATATTTAGCCCCGATTTGATAGTGATTAAAAGTAAAATTTTAATTCAAGTTAAAGTCAAAGATTAATTTTGCTCACATATTTTATAAGATCAAAAAATTTTGAATCATAAATTTCATCAACTTTTATTAAAATATATTAAAAATCTTATTTTAATCTCTACCAAATAGGGAGCCTAATAAGTTATTGATGGTAACTTACCATATAGGATAATTTATATTAAATCGTGTTACATTGTGTAGGTTTTTGAAATTGTAACTTACTGTGTAATTGTTATTATAGTGTAATTTTATATCATCATAGCACTATCACTACCAACAGTCATCCTATCAACTCAAAAAAAAAAAAAAAAACCTCAATTTTTTGCATTGTTATAAAAAGCGTAAAGTATGATTGGGCGTGAAGGAGAAGTTTCAAACTTTACGATGTTAAGCGAGCCTAGGCGAGACTTGAACGTAAAAAACGTTTTCTTTTTTTTGATAGGATTTTAAAATTTTAATCATTTTAAAAATTATTTAATAATTAAAATATTATATATCAAACATTAAAAATTATAAAATACAGTATTTAAGTGTTGAGCAAACAAAACTTACCACCTCTATGTGAATACACAATAGTATCTCCAGTCCATCCATGCTCAGCAATGTTGGTCAGATATGAACATCCTTAGCTTGGATGGTGCAGGACACTGCACCTGGCTGTTCGTTGTGGACGAGATTCTTCGTACTAACTCGACACCATGCAGCTCCTTGGCAATTAAACACCCCAAGAATTCCGGTGAAGTCATTCATATTCCAAATTTTCAGAAGACTGCAACAAAGTCCATAAGTTGTTATAAGACAGCCAAAAATGCTCAGTATAATGAACTTAATACTGTCCATTGCTTTCCAGTCTTGTCTATCAAACACGACGAGGAGTTTCGAGAATGCTTAAGATCTTTCTATGTCATACCTTTTTCCATCTCTAGTAGGATCAGAAAACAAGCAATCTCTAGTTGGTCTCCCGGGAAGTTTGGCCCTCAGTGTGGAACCATCGGGGAGTACAAGTTTCTTCAAGACGAAGAAATCGTGGTGCCCAGGTTTGTCACTGCACGATATAGGGTTTAATAATTCATAAATATTATAGTATGACCAAATGTGCCTGCCACAA